TCATTGCCTAAATAAACCAAGTTTTTCTGTAAGAATTTTGTATCTTATATTTGATCCTTTAATCCATTTAATTAACTTTTGTGTGTGCTGTGAGACAGAGAGATCCAACTTTGTTTTGTATATGGATATACAGGAATTTCAGCTCCATTTGTGCCATTTCCTTTGTGAAAGTGAAGAGTACACCCCAACCTTACCCAACTTAGTTCTATGAATCCCTTATAAACTAGGTTACTAGGTAACGGTAACATAATTCTTAAATCATCAAGAAATTGCAGTACTACTTTGAAGTGAGTGGGAGCTTGTTGAGCCAACACCCAGTGGTGCTGTAGGGATACTTCTAGCTTTGTGCTCTGAAATAACTCCCAACAATGATCAAGGAAACTGTGTAGTGCCCGGAATTGAACCAGGGTCAGTCACATGCAACACAAGCAACTTTACCTCTGTTCTGTCTCACTGGCTTCAGTTCTGCTATTTTTTTTGTCTTGGAGCAACACCTGGCTCTGCTGGGGATCTAATCGAGGTTGGCTGCATGCAAGGCAAACACCCTGCCTGCTGTACCATCTCTCTGGCCCTTATTTCTACATTTTTAAATCCTCTCTGGTGGTATGGACCCCTGCAATTTCCATAAATGTAGGAAACTCGACTGCATTTATTTGTGTAGTGGAGTGCTGCATTTCCATTCACCCCTAAAAGAAAAAGAATTGCAAATCTACCATGGTGACTTTTTTTAAATTTGTTTTCTACTTTGAGCTGATTATTCTACATAGATAGGCTGGAGCGATAGCACAGTGGTAGGGCATTTGCCTTACAAGCAGCCAACATGGCCGACCCGAGTTCGATTTCTCTGCCCCTCTCAGAGAGCCCGGCCAGCTACCGAGAGTATCTCGCCCGCATGGCAGAGCCTGTCAAGCTACCCATGACGTATTTGATATGCCAAACACAGTAACAACAAGTCTCATGATGAAGACGTTACTGAGCCTGCTCTAGCAAATCAATGAACAACAGGAGGACCGTGACCAATTCTACATAGATAATTATTCTACATAGATATTTTTTTATGCTTTTCTCAATTATAGTTACTTTTGTCTCACTATATGAAAATTTTTTTCTTTAAAGTTACCATACTTGTAATGGGTTTTTAAAAAATTTTTAATTGGGTTGCCTGTCTTTTTAAATAGTTATGTAAAAGCCTATAGATGTAAGAATTTCACCATCTACATGTAATTGTAACTATACACAGTTCTGTAGATTGCCTTTTTCACTCTCCTACTTTTTCTTTTTATTTGTTTTGAGTCGAAGAGCCCGGCAAGCTACTGAGAGTTTCCCGCCCATACCCGTGGCATATTCTATATGCCAAAAACAGTAACAATAACGGGTCTCATTCCCCTGACCCTGAAAGAGCCTCCAATACTGTTGGGAAAGACAAGTAAGGAGAGGCTGCTAAAATCTCAGGGTTGGGACGAATGGAGACATTACTGGCACCCACCCAAGTAAATCAATGAACAACAGGATAACATTGATACACTGATTTGTTTGGGGAACACTCCTAGAGGTGCGTAGGGCTTACTACTGGCTCTGTGATCAGGGATTACTCTTGATGGGACTCGGGAAACCAGATGTGATGTCAGGGATAAAACCTGGGTCATCTGCATGCAAGGCAAGTTCCCCTACCCACTGCACTTTCTTGCCAGTTCCTCAATTATGTCTTTTGATAAGCAAGGTTTTTCATCCCTTACTATATGATTAATATATTTGTCTGTTATTTAAAATGTTTGCTTACTTCAAGATCTTAAAGATAGTCCCCTTTGCTTTCTTCTAGTACTAGTAAATAAAAGTAAAGTAAAGTAAAGGCCCTCCCGTTGATCATCGATTTGCTCGAGCAGGCCCAGTAACGTCTCCATTGGAGACTTTTTTGTTACTGTGTTTGGCATATCGAATACGTCACGGGGAGCTTGCCAGGCTCTGCCGTGCGGGTGAGATACTCTCGGTAGCTTGCCGGGCTCTCCGAGAGGGGCGGAGGAATCGAACTCGGGTCAGCCATGTTGGCTGCGTGCAAGGCAAACGCCCTACTGCTGTGCTATTGCAGAATTTTTGTTTGATTTTGGCTCAAGCACCTCTCAGTGCTCTGCACTCAAGGATCACTTCTGGTGGTGCTCAGGGGACCATGTGGGATGCCAGAAATTGAATCTGGGTCAGATGCATGCAAGGCAAACTCGCTTCCCGCTGTACTATTGGTCTCGCCCAAACATACTACATTATTTATACATAGAATTTGAGGCAATTGCGATGAATAGCAAAATATCCCTTTTAGATAGAGAGAAATCTTGAGAAAAAATTAGTCTATAACTACCTCATAGACTATGCACCAAGGAAGCATACTTAATATCATTGTCTCTGAAAAATTCACATGTATGTCTTTTCCTTTTCAACTGGGCTCATTTCAGCCTTTTCACAGCAGTTACCAAGTTTTTCTTTTCAGTTAATATTTGGGCTTCTTTTTTCTTCAAATATTTATTGCCTTTTGCTTTTAAAAATATGGTAGAAAAATTTAATGTGCAAATGTGTGTGGTTACTACCTCTATTTAGCATACGTTATTTGAATTGTAAGCTTTTAGAGGAAAACTTAGGAGGAAATACCCAATATTTATAGAATTGAACTATGTCTAAACATATTTATTTATATTCTCATGGATATGTTGATATTTATGAATCTTTCTTCTTATATACTCTAAAGAAATTGTCTCTTTAAGCCTCCCAAATAATTTTCATTATTTTATAGTACGTGTGTCTATTTCTCTTTTTGGTCCATTCTTTTAAATTTGCAGGGAAGAGCTGGAGAGATAGTCCAGTAGACAGGGTACTTGTGTTGCATGTGGCCACCCTGGGTTCAGTCCCTGGCTCCCTATATGGTCCCCTGTGCCAAACTAGGAGTGATCCCTGAGCACAGAGCCAAGATAATGCCCTGATCACAGCCAAGTGTCGCACAAAATAAAATAATTAAAAATAAAGTACTATTTGCAGGGAATAATAATATTTCTTCTTTGTTATAACTTTTTACACTTCATACCATATTTAACACACCAATCATAGGATAAGTTATTGGGATGAGAGCCATCTAATTTGTCGTGGGTTTTTTTTTTTTTTTTTTTGCTTTGGACTCTTAAGTCAGAAGGGGGATTGTTCAAAACTGTTGGACAAGTTGATAGAAAAATAGAAATATTTTCTGGTTAATTGTTTTTGTTTTTTCAAGGGGGGGCATACCGAGTGGTGTTCAGTGACTGGTTCTTGAGGGTCTCTCTTCGTAGTGCTTGAGGGATCATGTACTAAGAATTCAGCCTGAAGCTTTTGCATGGTGCTCCATCACTTTGGACTATCTCTCTGACCCCAATATAGGAATTTTTCATTCCATCATGTTAACTTGACTCAGACTTAATGGTTATTAGAATTTATGATTGGGAGATGCTATGTTTATATAACTCTGTGTCCCTTGGCTAGTGAAAATAATAAGAAATATAACAACTTCATTGGTGGTGGAAGGTGTGCACTGGTGGAGGGATGGGTACTCATGCATTGTATGACTGAATCACAAGGACAAAAATATGTAAATCTGTAACTGTACCTCATTGTGATTCACTAACAAAAATTTCTTTTAAAAATTTTAAAAAATAAATAAAAAGCAAAAAAGAAATATAACAATAATATTATTGAACTATTTTTCTATGTGATCTTAAGACTTTATATATTTATTTCAGATCATTTTCTTTTTAATTTTTAGTTGAGTCACTGTGATTTACAAAGTTATTCATGATTGAGTTTCAGGCATACAGTGTTCCAGTACCAGTCCCTTCACCAGTTTCCACATCCCTCCACCACTGTTTCCAGTTTCCCTCCTGCTCCCCAGTCTGCCTCTATGATAGGCACTTTTTTCTTTTTCTTTTTTCCTTTTTGCCCCCTTTTAGGCACTGTAGTTTACAATATTGTTATTGATAGGATATCATGCATATCACTTTACCTCTTTTCAGCACCTAATCCTGGTCCAGAGTGATCAGTTCCCTCTATCATTTCCACTGTGTTCTCTTCCCTGACTTATCCCCCTTACCCGGGATGAAGAGACAACTTCTGAGTGCTGCTTCCTAGATATTTTTTGACACTTTGAGTTTGAGACACCAGGATGGGGTAGGGCTGAGAAGAGTCCTACCCAGGGAGCAGATAAACTTTGGAGGGGTCCTGACCTCTATTTCATATAATTTTCATAGCCCTATAAACTTGATTATACTATTTTATCATGACTGTAGCACTGCTCTCCCATTGTTCATCGATTTGCTAGAGCAGGCACCAGTAACGTCCCCATTGTAAGACTTGTTACTGTTTTGGGCATATTGAATATGCCACGGGGAGCTTACCAGGATACTCTCGGTAGCTTGCTGGGCTCTCCGAGAGGGACAAAGGAATAGAGCCCGGGTTGGCCACATACAAGGCAAATGCCCTACCCACTGTGCTGTCACTCTTTTAGCTGAGAAAATTAAACCTTATAGAAATAAAGTAACTGCCTAATATCACTGTGTACTCTTTATCACCGTGACCCATTGTTTCATTTATAACATAAAATCATGAGTTTGGCTGAAATATATCTCCTATATAGAATGTGGCTATGACCCCTTACCTCTTTTTCCTTTCTAGATAAACTTGGTAGCCTTTGCACCAAAACACACAATGCAACATTTTATTAAATGTAGTGAGGACCCAGGAACTATGAGTGCAAATGAAGCATTTTGTTATAAATGTTCATGATAGATAACAAAACTGAATTTGCATAACCATTCGCTTTCTAGAAAGTACCTCGCCATTAACTTCCAGTTGTGAGAATAGGCTGTTTACCTAGGATACAAAAGAGGAACAATCAGTCCCTGTGTGGCCTTATTGCTGTTGGATTCATTTAGTCAGTTGCTGGAATCTGTTATTTGTTTATTGTTATCAGTGTCTTTCTTTTGCTTTTTTAGGATTGTAGCTGAGAAGGCAAAAGAAGTTCTCTTTGTCCGACCACGGAAATATATCCACTGCTCCAGCCCAGAGACCGTAGAACCTGGTTACATCAACATCATGGAGTTAGCGGCATCGGTGTGCCGCTATGACTTAGATGACATGGACATCTACTGGCTCCAGGATCTCAATCAGGATCTTGTCCAAATGGGTAAATTGTTTTCTTACCAGTTAGTTGTCCTTGATTCATAACTTTTATTCAAGTTGTCACAACTTTAATTTCCTGTCATTTCATGGCTTCCTTTTGCTGGCTTTACCATTTATTTTCTCTTTGATCTTAATGAGGCATTTCTGAAAGTGCATGAACACCATTGAAATAGCATTAACATTTAAATCTGACCTTTTCTTTCTTTATTCATGGTGAATAGCACAGATCAGAGATAGAGTGTAAGATTCACTAGGTTATTTTCCAATTTTTAGTGTGAAAGTGGTCATGCCTGGTTGAACATCTTATTGAGAAGAATTCTGATGCATCCTCCTGACTTAGTCCTGAAAAGCCATCTGATCAGCAAACAGGATCAGGGGTAGCCTCTGGCACCTCAGCCTCACAGAGTGAATCTCCATCCTCACCAATAGGCAACTCAACATCTGGAACTGGGGACCAATACCACTTAACACAGGACTTGTAATGTTGCCACCTTGGGCAAAAATAATTAAGAACAAAAGATCTCAAAAGCAGTTTATAGATCTATCCAGTGTTTTCTGGAATTGTCATACAGTTCTCAAAAATCAAATTAAGAGGCCAAAGCAGTAGTACAGCTGGTATACCTTGCAGATGGCTAACCCGTGATTGATCCACTAGACCTCATTTGGTTCCCCATGCCTGCCTGAACTGATTCTTGAGCACTGAGCCAAGAGTGAGCCCTGAGCAACACTGCCATGTGTGGCCCAAATGCCCACCAAAAAATCAAATAAAGGACACACACACTAAGATAAAGCACAGACAAGCATAAAAAATTGTAAGTCAACAGAGTAAGAATAAATATATACCAGCATGCTGGGAAGTGTTAGCTGAAAGGAAACTCACTTTATACTTATGGTTCTTTTTGACTTGTCAATATGAGCAGTGCTTAGGTGCAAGTGATCTGATGGAATTATGGGAGTTTTCTAAGTTTCCATGTGAGTTATATTTAAAGTTATCTCATTTTATTTGTATAAGACATGTTCATTGCTAGTACAGGATTTCGTTTTATTCCCTCTCTTCCCTTTTGTTTCTTCCTACGTTGGTAAATGAATTCATGAGAATACGAAATTAAAGTTGAATCCAGCATGGCATGACAATAGTAGTTACTCTGACAGTAACCCATATTTATTATTTTTAAAACTTTCATTTTATTATTTTTTTGTAAAAAATCTGTGTGGTTTTAATTTTTTTTATTTTAAGTAGTGAAACACCATGAGGTACAGTTGTAGACTTAAAAATTTTTGTGCTTGGGTTTCAGTTATACAATGATCGAGTACTCATCCCTCCACCAGTGCCCATTCTCCACCACCACTAATCCCAGTATCCCTCCCACCCACCCCCATCCCCCCATCCCACCCTGCTCTGTGGCAGGGCATTCACTTTTGTTCTCTCTCTCCTTTTGGGTGCTGTGGTTTGCAAAAGAGGCATTGAGTGGCAATCATGTTCAGTCTATAGTCTACTTTCAGCATGCACCTCCCATCCTGGGCGGATCTTCCCAACACCCTTTATTTAGTGCTCCCTTCTCTATCTGAGCTATCTTTACCCCTAGAGTGTGCTGCTGGCCTACAAGCCATGGAATAAACCTCCTGGTATTTATCTCAGCTATTCTTGGGTGTTAGTCTCCTAATTTGTTACTTTATGTTCCCCATATGAATGCAGTCTTTCTATATCTGTCCCTCTCTTTCTGACTCATTTCGCTTAGCATGATACTTTCCATGTAGTACCACTTGTATGTAAATTTCATGACTTCATCCTTTCTAATAGCTACATAGTACTCCATTGTGTAGATGTACCAAAGTTTCTTTAACCAGTCATCTGTTCTCGGGCACTCAGGTTTTTTTCATGTTCCAGCTATTGTAAACAGTGCTGCAATGAACAAACAAGTGCAGATGTCACTTTGACTATACTTTTGTGCCTCTCTGGGATATATTCCCAGGAGTGGTATTGCTGGGTCGAATGGGAGCTCAATTTCTAGTTTTTTGAGAATCGTCCATACTGTTTTCCAAAAGAGCTGAACCAGTTGGCATTCCCACTAGCAGTGAAGGAGGGTCCCTTTCTCGCCATGTCCGTGCCAACACCGGTTGCTTTTGTTCTCTTGGATGTGGGCCAGTCTCTGTGGTGTGAAATGATATTTCATTGTTGTTTTGATCTGCATCTCCCTGATAATTAATGATGTAGAGCATTTTCTCATGTGCCTTTTAGCCATTCGGATTTCTTCTTCGAGGAAGCTTCTGTTCATTTTGTCGCCCCATTTTTTGATAGGGTTGGATGTTTTCTTCTTGTGGAGTTCAACCAGTACTTTGTATATCCTTGATATCAACCCCTTGTTGGATGTGTATTGGGCGAATATCCTTTCCCATTCTGTAGACTGTCTTTGTATTTTGGTCACTGTTTCTTTTGAGGTGCAGAAGCTTCTTAGTTTAAGATAGTCCCATTTGTTTATCTCTGTTTTCACTTTCTTGGCCAGTAGCGTGACATCTTTGAAGTTACTATTAGCTTCAATGTCATGGAGGGTTTTACCAACTTTGTCTTCAATTTATCTTATGAATTCTGGTCTGATGTTGAGGTCTTTAATCCATTTTGATCTTACTTTTGTACATGGTGTTAGACAGAGATCTGAGCCCAGTTTTTTTGCATGTAGCTGTCCAGTTTCACCAGCACAATTTGTTAAAAAGGCTTTCCTTACTCCACTTCACATTTGTTGCTCCTTTAACAAAGATTGTATGATTATATGTTTGTGGGGAGATGTCAGTATATTCAACCCTGTTCCATTGGTCTGCTGCTCTGCCTTTGTTCCAGTACTGTGCTGTTTTAATTATTACTGCTTTGTAGTAGAGTTGAAGTTAGGGAGGTTGATTCAAAACTTTCACTTTAGGGGCTGGAGCACTAGCACAGCGGGTAGGGCGTTTGCGTAGCATGCGCCGACCCAGGTTCGATTCCCAGCATCCCATATGGTCCCCTGAGCACTGCCAGGAGGAATTCCTGAGTGCAAATCCAGGAGTAACCCTTGGGCATCACCAGGTGTGACCAAAAAAGAAAAAAATTACCTTTCATCTTAGGGGCCAGAGCAATAGTAACAGCGGGTAGGGTGTTTGCCTTGCAGGCAGCCAACCCAGATTCAATCCCTGGCATCCCATATGGTCCCCCAGGTACCACCAGGAGTAACCCCTGAGCATTACCAGGCATGGCCCAAAAAACAACAAATAAAACCTTTTGTCTTATGACTTCACTTGCTATACTTTCAAAGAGGAGAAAGGGAATTAAATATAGGTGAGATCCACAGAAAAGACTGACAAAGTAGAAAATCATAGTGTAAGAGCATATACAACAGATTGATGACTCGGTGTATGATTGTTAAACTGTGTCCCATCCATGTACAATATATTGATCCTACTGCTAGCTACTTTCAGTAATGAAACCACTTTAGGGTGTCTCTTACAAGTTTGTAAAACCTTTTGGTATTTTGCAGTTAACTCCCCTTGGCTGTATGTTTTTAAATGAACTTACTTGAGGAAATAATTTTAGAATTTATGTGAGGAAATAATTTTAGATTTGTTTTTGATGAAAATGAAAGGCAGCTATGCTAACCACTATACCCCCAATGCTAAGCAACTTATTTGAGGAAATAATTTCAAAATTTACCAAAAAATGCAGAGTTAGCATAGTTATGTATTTCTATTACACTTTATTTCCATTAATGTTTACATTCAATTTACCATGGTACATTTATCAAAGCTAAGAAACTATCATAAGTATGTTTCTATTAAGTAAATTCTAGGCTTTGTTGGGATTTCACCAGTTTTTTCACTAGTGACCTTTTTCTGTTCCAGGATCCTATTCCAGGATACCACATTACATTTGACTTGGAAGAATTTTAAAACAGGATTACTTTATCAAATTTTTCATAAGGGTGAATAATATTTTAGTGAGGATTATTAAATCTGAAGGTTTTGTTTTTTAAAAATTAAATTATCCAGTGTAAGGAAATTTTTAGACCAGGTGCTTACGGACTGGATAACTAATACAGGAGTTTAAGGCATTTGCCTTGCATCTTGTCTACCACTGTTGGAATCCCCAGAACCATATGTGGTTCTGCAAGCACCACCAGGTGTTACTCATGAGCACAGAGCCTAAAATAGCTCTTGAGCACTGCTGGTGAATGCCCCCCAAGTTAGTACTTACTATATAATTAATTACCTCATCTCAGTCTCACTAGAAATCAGTGAGTTTGGTATTATTATCTTCTTGATATACATAAGGAAAGTATGCCTTTAAAAGGATAAATGAAGGGCTGGAGAGATGGTATAGTGGGTAGGGCACTTGCACACAGCAAACCCTGGTTCAATTCCTGGCATCCCATATGGTTCCCTGAGCACCAGCGGTGTGGCCACAAAAAAAAAATAAGGATAAGTAACTTGTATGTTTGTCTTGGCTAGAAAAGTGAAGTAAATCATACCAGCTGAACTTTTGATTTTACAAGTAAGTATAACATTTAAAAGGTAATTGGCAGCAGCTGGAATGGTAGTTTAGCAGGTAGGGTTGCTTCCCTTGCACTTGGAAAATCCGGAATCAATTCCCAGTACCCTAGATGTTCACCTGAGCCCTATCAGGAGTGACTCCTGAGCACAGCTGAATGTGGCCCAAAACAAAAACAAAAAATATGGGGCTGGAGCAATAGCACAGCAGGTAGGGTATTTGCCTTGCATGCGGCCAACCTGGGTTCGATTCCCAGCATCCCATATGGTCCCTCAAGCACCGCCAGGAGTAATTCCTGACTGCAAAGCCAGGAGTAACCCCTGAGCATCGCCAGGTGTGACCGAAAAACAAAAAATAATTAATTTATGAAATGCCAGCATTCCTTAGGATGCCTTATTTTGCAAATGGAGTTAATTACTGTTTCAGTTTGTTTTGGATTATTTAAAGAATTCATCCTGAAGTTTAAAAGCTATTAGAATAAATATATTTGTGCTCTCACAAAATCGTTAGTACCCCTAAGAAAAATGTTTAGTTGTTACCAGTGTCTACTGCATGAATCATTTATTTGAATGAAATACGGAAAACTAAGAAAAATTAAAAGTATGAAGGAAAAAGGAATCAGAAGACCAAAAAGCTAATTCAGAATTTTCAGTTGGACTTTGTGAATGCCAGTAGGTTTCTTTTATATTTATAGTTTACCACTGGAAAATATTACTGGATTTTTGTAATCAGGTTTGAAAAACAAAATACTTATGTATAATATCTAGAACTTAACAACAAGTCTCACAATGGAGACGTTACTGAATTTGCTGGAGCAAATTGATGAACAATGTGAGGACAGTGCAGACAGTGCAATATCTAGAACTCACTATTATGGTTATAGCTTTTAAATTGTAAATTTCTTTATAAATTAGATATGGGTAAGGGGATATTACTTAGTAGTAGAAATCGTTCCTCACATCTGTTAGGTCCTGGATTTGATAACTATCTTACGTATATATCCACATACACATTAGTTGTTTTCATTAATTTTTTAAGAAGGAATTACAGGGCTGGAGTTATAATATAGCAGTTAGGTCATGTCCTTACATGTGACCCACCTGGACTCAGTTCCCTGCCCAGAGTGATCCCTGAGTGCAGAGCCAGGACAAAGCTCTGAGCACTGCTGGGTGTGACCCAGAAACCAAAAAAAGGAATTATGATTTATGAATTATTCATGTGGTTCTAATTATTACTGTGATTTAAAGTGTTCAAAATTGCAAAGCTCAGTGAAAGTCATCCCTCAGTGGGAATAAGAAAACACAGAGATTTAGAGGATTTAGACAGAAAATTGAAAAGATCAGTATGTCTTATAAAGAATATGATGAAATATATTTCTTCCTTCATGTGACAGATAATATTTAATGATATGTACATATTAATATAGTAAAAGGTTCTTTAAAATTGGATTGTTTTGGATCAGGGAAAATGTTGTTTTATCTTCTTTCATCTCCCCTAAATCCTGCACAAGGCTTACAATAGGTGGTTTGCAAATGAAAGCTGACTCACAGGCTGGTGATCGTTTGTATTTCTGTGCAGGTTATGCGCCAGTTGATGAAGATCTTATGGAAAAGGCCATAGAAGTCCTGGAACGCCAATGTCATGAAAATATGAACCATGCTATTGAGACAGTGGAAGGGCTAGGCATAGAGTATGATGAAGATGTGATCTGTGATGTGTGCCGGTCTCCAGACAGTGAAGAAGGGAATGATATGGTGTTCTGTGATAAGTGTAACATCTGTGTACATCAGGTTAGTGAAACTCGAGATTGTTCCCTCCCCTTTCTGAAGTTCAGTGATATAATCCTTACCAATATCTCGGTAGCAGTTTTCATACTTAAATAAGAATGAAAATAAAGATTTGGCCTAGAGGTAGGTGTTTGGCTTATTCATGGCCAACCCTAATTTGATTTCTGGTCCTGCATATGACCCCCCCAAGCACAACCAGGAATCACCCCTGAATATAGATAGAGCCAGGAGTTAGCCCTAAGGCCTCTGCTGGGCGTGGCCGAAAACAACCAAAAGATTTGGCCTCGCTGCTCTTCAGTTATCACTTGAGAAATAGTACGTTTTGTGAGCCACAAGGTGACCTAATAACTTTACTCCAGGAGTCCAAACCTAGGTGTTTATTGTTTTGCTTCATTCCCCTACTATTAAGCTTGTCTTACCAATAGTTTTGTGGTTCCCTGGGGAGCTTATTTGCTGCATCGTGACTTTCTTCTCTGCCTTCAAATCCTTGTTACATAAGCAGATCACACCCATGATCAGTAACTTAAGCAAATTTATTAAACTTTCTGTAACTGGAAGTCCAAACTTATCCTGGCACTCAGTGCCCTTCCCCATCTCCCAGAATTACCATTCCCAAGAAACTCCATTTTATTTCCCCTGGGAAATACCTAATGGTGCTCAGGAGACCATGCTACACTGGGGATCAAATTCAAGAACTCCAACTTGAACCATCTCCCCAACCTAGAAAGTGCTGCTTTAAAAGATTATAGAATTTTAGAATTGTAAAAGACCGTCCCACTCAGTTTTACATATAATTCCAGAAGAGATGTATTGAGTTTACTCAAGCTCTTACTGATAGTTACTTGTGTTTTATACCTCACTTTTTAATTTGATAATAATGACAGTATCTGCCTTCTTTTCTGTTTTTTTCTTCCCCACAAGCCCCTATGTATCAGTGAAGAAAGGTTACACAAAGGGACAGTGATGAATATTGATGACTGCCCTTTCTCTGTATTTCAGGTGTAGTCCAATTAAAAATAACCTTCTGGGGCCAAGAAGATAGCTCAAAGTTTGTGAATTTATTCCCTGGCACCACATGGCATACTTAAGCTCCACTAGATATAGGCCTTGTGGTTCCCAACATCACCAGATATGGCCCTAGTTGTGCTAGGAGTGGTCCTGAACCCCCAACTTCATTAGGGAGACCCCCCTCTCAAGAAAAATAAAATGCCCTCTCTCCTACTTCACCTATCAAAATTTGTGTATCTTCCAAAACCAAGTTCAAGTATTTTTTTACCATAGGCTCTTTTTTGACTTTTTTTAACCCATTGTGTATTTCATTAATTTCTGTTGGCTAATAAGTTCACAGCATCATCTTTTTGCTAGGGCTAGGTTGTATGCCAAGAATACATTCTTTGATGAAGAAACAAAGGCTTTGCCCCCAGGGAGATCAGTTATAAAGACTACAAGGAAAATGCCTGTTTAGCATAGAAAGCCAAATGGGGAGGGGGTTTTTTTGTTTGTTTGTTGTTTTTTTGGTTTGGGTGTTTGCTTTTTGGTGGAGGTGGGATTGCAGGTTTTGGTTTGGTTTGGTATTTTTATAAAATTCCAAATACTTAAGAATTTAAGTGTTTTTGTAACTAGAAATCTGTGCTGCTGTGAAGCACCTGAGAAAATTGGGGGTCAAGAACAGCTTCCAAAGGCTGGAACTGTAGTACAGTGCCTTGTACATGGCTGACCTGAGTTCAATCCCCACCATCCCATATGGTCCCCTCAGCATCCCCAGGAGCAATTCCTTTTGGAGGGCCTTTTGGTTCATACCCAGCGATGCTCAGGAGTTACTCCTGGCTCTGCACTCAGGAATTACTCCTGGGGTCCTTGGTGGACCATATAGGATGCCAGGAATCAAACCCAGGTCGACTGCATGCAAGACAAAAGCTCCTACTGCTCTGGCTGCCAGGAGTGATTCCAGAGTGCAGAGCCAGAAGTAACCCCTGAGTATTTCCAAGTTTGCCCCCACTGCCACAAGAGAAAAGAACAACTTCCAGGAGACCAAGCTTAATCTTAATGGTCAAAAAAAGATGCAGATAAAACTGCAATATGTTTAAGTAGAGAAAACATGTTAGATGAGGTAGTACGAATGTACAAATGTATGTCAGAAGTGACTTAAGTGGTTCAGCACTGAACAGGGAGAACATTAAAATGGAATAGGAAAGCAGGAAGAATGAGGCTAGGAAAGTGTATAAGGGATAATGTGAAGGGCTTTCTCTGAAAACTAAGAAAGTTTGGGGTTTTTTTCTGTTAATCTTGAAGGATATGCTTTATAATTTGGAAAGTTAATTCTGGCTATAAAATGACTGCTTTAACAGAAAAACAAATTTAATGACTAAAATCATTAGCATAGGAAAGAAAAATTAGGGCTTAGGACAATTTTAGTCCCTGGATCTCCTAATCTGTGAGAAACTACCCAGAAATAATAGGTGACTAAGTGGGTCTTTTCCTTCATTTTACATGTGTCCTTTAAATGGTAATTTTTTTTTAATTTTAAGGATAAATTTAAGGGTCTGACAATAGAGATCCATAGCCCATTATCTGCAGTTATAACATTTTTTTGGTTACTCATGCATCCAGGGCCACTGAACTATTTTCTGGCCTCTTTTATTTTTATTCTATTTTATTTTTGTAAAGTTGTTCACAATGGGCTGGAGCAATAGCACAGTGGTAGGGCATTTGCCTTGCACACAGCCAACATGGCCAACCCGAGTTCGATTCTGCCGCTCCTTTTGGAGAGCCTGGCAAGCTACCGAGAGTATCTCGCCCGCACGGCAAAGACTGGCAAGCTCCCTGTGACTAATTCAATATGCCAAACACATTAACAAGAAGTCTCACGATGGAGACATTACTGGGCCTGCTCGAGCAAATCAATGAACAATGGGAGGACCGTGGACCGTTCACAATAATTGATTACATTCAATATTCCAATACCAATCCCACCACCATTACACCTTCCCACCACTGTATTTTGAATTATTCCACCTTGGTCCCCCCAGTCTGCCCCCAACACAGAAAATAATAATTTATTCTATATTGCTTTTTATGAATAATCTTGTATTGCTTTTTATGAATAATCTGCTAAAGATGACGCAAAAAAGTTTCTTTAGAGAAAAGTGTATGAAGATTGTTGTATCACCCTGAAGCCATTATGCCCTTTTATAGCGTATGAGATGTAGCTCCAGAAATTCTAAGATTTTTTTAATAGAATAAATTATTAACTGGATGACAACTTTGGGATCTGGAGGCATCCCTGCAGCATGTTGGTCTCTTCCTCTTCAACGTTTATTTGTGAATCTCTGGATCATGGCCATTAAATGGAGCCAGAGGCGGTTCATGGGCATGACTGCCCATGGAGATGGGGAAATGTTGCCTATTCCTGACTTTGTGTGAGCCTGGAGATTTTGGTCACAAGTCCCGCATACATGGGTTTTTCAGCAGATTCCCTTATGGATGAGGCTCATCAGAGCCTGTGGACATCAGCCTTGAGCATTGCAGCGATTGATTTCTGGAGGTTTTCAGCTGTCGGGACTCTGTTGGGGCTGAGGGGGTAGACTCAACACCATCCAGTTTGCTCCATAGGGGACAGCCTCGTGCAGAGTCTGGAGTCATCTCTGTGGTGTACAACATTTTAAGGTTCTGAAAATTGCAATTTTTTGCTTGTCTGGGTTAATATGGGTGAAATGCTAGAACTCTTGGAATATAAGATTATTTGTAATCTTTATCTTGTTTTGTTTAAATAATTCACCTATTTTTGTTAAAGAAACTTCAGTGTATTTGATTATTTGACAGTGTTCATGGTTATGTTGGTAGATAAGGTAGTATGCCATGTATGTTCTATAGGATCAGTTTCCTAAAATATAAACAACTAATGAATTTTCTGACATGTGTCTCCCTAGGGTTTTCAGAAAAATAATTTTAAAGCTATAATAACCTAAAAGAGAGTAGTACAAAGGCCATCTATATATTTTCTGAATTAATCTTTCACAATTGGGAAAATATTAATGAATTCTTTTTTGGTTCTTTGACTAACAAATTAGAATTAGCATAATTCTCTGCAAGGAAATGGGATGTGACTTAGTGGCAGAGCATCTGTCTTGCATATATGAGGCCCTGGGTTCAGTTCCTCAGCACTACCAAAAAAAATCTCAAACTTGTTTTGTTTTGAAAACATATTCACTAGTGACTATGAGCAATACCCGATCCTTACACTCAAAGACATGACAGTAACATCTGACCAGGCCTTGCAGAATATAAGATGATATATATTAAGGATAGTTGTTGGTACCAAACACAAAGTTTCATCTAAGGATATCCTTCTAGGGGCCGGACCAATAGTACAGCAGGTAGGGCAATTGCCTTGCACACAGCCCACTTTAGTTTGATCCCTGGCACCCTGTATGGTCCCCTGAGCACCACCAAGCGTGATTGCTGAGCACAAAGCCAAGAGTAAACACTGAGTAGCACCAAATGTGCCCTCTCCCCTCACACACTAAAACAAATAAATAAAGATATTCTTCCAGAGTATGTGCACTTTAATTCTAAAGAGAGTATTAGATTAGAGCTCCCTCTGCTGTCTGAAAAGTGACTTTGGAAGATTTAGTTTACTCCTTAAAAGAATTGGGGACTAATTAACTTCTTTTTAGAGGGCAGGGAGTGTCTAAATCCACTGGTGCTCCTGGGCAGTTCCTTTCTCTCTGCTCAAGACTAAGCCTGGGTGGTGCTCCAGGAACCATAAGTGATGCCAGGGATTCAAATTAGGGGCGACCGTGTGTAAGACAAGTGCCTTACTTCCTATACTGTCTCTCTGGCCAATGTTGAAGTGTTTATTTATTAGACACTTTTTTTTTACTTTCACCATATTATATTCTTTATGGTTAATAGTTTATAAATAACTACAGGGGCTAGAGAGAGTGTGCAGCTGGTAAGGTTCTTGCCTTGCAAGCAGCCGACCGAGGTTTGATCCTCAGCAT